TGCTTCCCATTTTTATTTTTTTTTTTTTACATTTTTTTTATAGTAGTTAGCCCATGTTAATTTATGATTCTCATTATCCTCTGTTCTAATTCAAAACTGTTTTGATATCCATTTTATGTTTTGATTGGATCTCCTATGCATCTTTTTTTGTACTGCACTTTAGACAAACTTCCAATTAGAACATCCCAAGAGATTATTAAGGTCGTTTTATCTCATCTTTCATAGTCTTATTTTTTTTTATTAACTCTTCTTTTGTATTACTAAAAATGGCTGAAATTTTATCTTAAAAACTAATGTTTAGCTGCAACGTCTCCTAGCTGTTGGAAATCTTAAATAAACAAAAGCTCAGAGAAAAATTTGCCCTACATAAGAATATGGTAGATCTAAGACTGCCATTGACTTATTTGACAGAACTTTTAAAATAAGTTAAATGCTTGAATGCAAAACTAGTCATTTACATTGCACAGCACTGAAGTTCTTGCAACATAATAAATACTCTAAAACACCTAGGCGTTCTTAGATCAATCCGTCTAACAAAAATGTGAGAATACTGATGTTTTGAAATGTCTGCTAAACAAAGAAAGGGAGAGGGAAGGAAAAAAGCTTTTTTTGACAATCAAATTAGAGAGGGCTGTTCAATAATGTGCTAACAAAGAACAAGAAAAGAGAGAACTGGCAACTTGCACAGTAAATGCAAGGATCTAAATACAACAAAGTTGTCAAAACATTACAACATCTGTGTTGAAGCTCTAAATGTTAGAATTGCTTAAATTAGTTTCATTGACTGCCTGCTTGGATTGCATTTGCACACTAAACCATCTTACTTGAATTTGGCAGCGCTAATTGCTTATAAACGATGATGCAAAAACACATTTTGTATTTATAATGGAGGGTTACTGGTACAAAAAAAAGAGAAATGATCAAGGTTGACAATGAGATCTTTAAAGCAGCAACATTGGAGTCTCGTGGGAACTCCTGCTGCTCGTGCTGCCGAGTAGCATCTGCATCTTTACCATGAGTGTAGGCTGCAACTGATCAGTTTGAATATTGGTAGAGCCACAGCTGCCTCCAGCTACGGAAACATGAGAGTTAGACTCCCTCCCTGTGGGCAGATCTGGCTCAAAAGGCTCACAGTTATTTTACAGCATCGATACAATCATAGCAAACACTGCCACTGCTGTACAAACAACTCATGGGCTGTGCATACAGCGTGCATGTGTACACTCTGCGAGCGTTAATAAACACATGCAGCATGGGGCCTGAAGAATGCATCTCACCTTAACGACTGGATTAGAGTGTTGGGGTCAACATCTTTAAAGTGGGATAATAAGTGTTTTGGATCTTCATTTGTGCATTTGGAAGTGGTGCAATAAGAAAAAAAAATTGTTGAATATAAGACATTTTTCATGTACATGAACATTGCAGATGGAGGATTCAAAGCTTCCAAAATCTAGGCGAAACAGAGGCAGCAAAGATTGAAAGAGCAGCCTCAGTTAACTTCTGATTCTGGAGCCCTTATTGACTTAAGTCAAAGATTTAAAGACTTGACTCTTAGCTTGGTAAGATTTGAAAAAAAAACTTTGGCTTAAATGCTAATGACTAGTAAACTGTCTTGAAGTAGAGTGTCTTTACTTGAAATGACTTCAATCTATCCTTAAAGGTATACACTCTTTACATGTGGAACGTCTTTTTCAGGCTTCAAAGTCTTATAAACAGACTAAATATATGCAGCATTATCTTGAGTTTAATTAAAAAGGTTAAACTCACATGGAGTTGTTTGACTAAAATGATAATTTATTTTATCAAATCCATGCTATGACCTGCATAGTCATTAGCAGAATTACTACAGGAGCTCACCTTATACATGCATGGTAATAGGAAAGTTTAGCAGAACTGTGATAGAAAAAAAAAACTTTTTTTTTTATTTTTTAGAAACATTTGTTCTTGATGAGTGTGGCTAAACTTTAAAGTCTGTTTCTTTTCTGACCATAAAAGCTTACTGAAAAAGACATTTGGCTAGTACAGGTGAACGGTTTCACATTTCAATAAAGTTTAAAGGCAGTTGATATGTATTAGGGTGTTTTTTGTTTTGTTTGAACACTATCTGAATTTTGGGAGATTTAAAACTGGCCTCACTGTGCAAAACTCAGCCTTAGGTTCTAGCAGCTTCCAGGTCATTGCATATTTAAGGTTAATTGGTTCCTGTGTTGTTCCTGAACATCCTGACCTATTTCCTTTCAGAGGTTTTAAGTCTTCTTCTCAACTTCCCACAAAATTTAGAGATGTCCCGATCCAACTTCTCAATTTCCAACTCGATACCAATATTGCACCTTTGAGAATTGGCCAAAACACATATTGACCCAAGGCAATATTTGCAATAATGATACCCGTTTTTGTTAATTATTTTATACTGTAGAATGTTAGAAAAGGCTTGATCAAGTTTTGTTGCTAAAACAGGAAAAAAAAAAACAACAACAAAAGGTATGAAAACAACTGACCCAGTAGCCAGGCGATAAAATCTTAATTTCAATTTTGATTAAAATCGGACCGATATCCGATATTAATATCGGATTGGGACATCTCTAATACTTGTTTAATCTAACAACTTTGGAATCTGCAGGTGTTGAAAAATGAGTATGAAGACTTTTTTCTAATGATGTTAAAGACAAACTACTAGTTTCATTCAGTATCACTAACAGGATGGTAATAGGCCTTCGCTTCTTCCAGTTAGAAAACGTCCTAAATCACTTATTTAGTAATTTAGGTGCATTTGTATTTACGCATGTTTATAGCGAACCGTGTTTTACAACTAAAGCAGCCTCCTTTGTCTTGCAGACTGAGAACAGTTAGTGAGTTCAAGAAGTACAGAAGATTATCAATTTGCTCCAAAAATGAGGTAGCTGAAATTATCATCTTTACACCAGGTTTTATTATTGACTGCAAAACTTCAAGGTTTAAGCAAAATCAAAGCTCATGTTACAACAGAGTGCAGTGTTTTGTTTTTCCCCCCCCAAGGTATTCATGCCACCTCCAGATATGGTTGTTATTTCAGCAAGAAAAACTTAAATGGTTCAATGAAACCAGCAGCTGTCCCTCTTAGAAGGACTAACTCTGTGCACAATCTGTGTTTTGTTCATTTCTATGATGAGCTCAGAGGAGAATAGAGAACGATTACCATAATTACATCTCCCCCCCCGAAGATACAAACTCACAAACCCAAGATAATGACAGTTTGTTAAAATCATCTTCTACGATAAGCAAAAAAGACAACTGATGAAAGAGGAAAAGCTAACCTATTACTCTCTCCATACTTAAAGCAATGCTGTCTCCAGTATTCAATGGGTTGGCCAGATTGCGGCCCTCTAGCGATCTTAGGCCAATACAGGTTTTATGATCTTGGCACTGATGGCTGGATTTGGTTCCTTTCTCCTATCTACTTAGCTCCACCCAGCGCTCATTATCACACATCAGATCCACCTGTTCCTGCTTTCTATCTAAAGCTGCCTAGTCCCAGCCATAGGTGCCAGATTATTCGAGCCAAATGTGACGGTTTTCTAACCTTCCGGTGAGTTTTTGATTATCTGATCCTGACTAGTTTCTGTTCCTGGATGTCTGAGTTTTGGTTGCCCCTGCTCTGCTATTCCGTTTGCCTGATCTGTTTCCAGACTGTTACCTGGATTCTGTCTGCTGATGATCGTGGACCTGTCTTCTGACTGTGGCTTGGAAATCCCTTTGGCGTATCTTCGGACTTCTGATCTTCAGGCCTGGAAACTTGTTCATGCTTCGGCTCTGCCTTTGGATTATCCCTCCGGATTACATGCTCATTATCGTTCTGAAGTCAGTAATCTGAGTTCCCGTCTCTACAGAGTGTTCAGTGAACCTGCCCCAGCTTATGAGCAGCCAAAAGTTTACTTTCTAATAAACGCTTGTTTTGAAATCTTCCTAATCTGCCTGTTTATATTCTGGGTCCTACGTTCTGAGCTTCTGACAAGAGGGGTTTCAGACAGCAGTCCTCGAGGGTCAATGTCCTACAATATTGTTATGTGTCCCAAGTCTGGTTCTAAAGCAGAATGACACCAATGCAGTGTAAGAATGTGCCAAGTAGTAAATAAAAGCAGTACCGTCCTGAAACTGGTCAGAGAGAAGCATGAAGTGACGGTAACTTTCCACTGGAGCTCAGGAAACCTAGACTCCATCATAACACTCTGGTTTAGCGTTTTCCAGAAGAAATACAAACCTGACTTTTATCTTAAATAATGTCTTTAGAATGGAAGAGTCAAGTCCTTCTTCCTAGCCCAGGTGGGAACCTGATGGTGTTAAGGAGTGGCCCGATCACAAGCATTGCAACAACTGCTATCAAGAACTTCACAATATATATTTTGAGCTGCAAAAATCCATGTGTGCAGTATCTCAAAGTACTCCTTTGGGTTTCTGTGTAGACTTTTACAGCTCTCCAGTCACACTTAGATGGCTATTTCTGGGGGTTAGATGCACATTCTTACTAAGAGAAGTAGACTGGTAACATCATTGCAATAATTAGCAACAAACTAAACAATGTTTTGATACTGTAACGAGTGCAGGACTAGTTTAAGCCCTTTAAGGCTCAATGTCCTGTCTCATCTTTTGCCATTCCACTAAACTTTCCATAAAATGCTTAGATAAAACAGATTATTTTGTTTCTACTTTTATGAATTATCCTTCTTCTCAAGACCATCTGCTGTACAACTGTCAGGACCTGAGTCTTCCTCGTGGTTTTGTGGGCCAAAACATTTTTTCCTACCGAAACCATGGATTTTTCATGTTACTTTGTCAATGTCCATGAATTTGGAAAGCATATTTTTGTTGTTATTATCCAGTCTTAGATAAATGTAAGTAAATGGTGTGTCTACACACCCTGACACCCTTCTTGGTGGTGCCTCTTCCATATGGGTAAAAGTGCAACAGTTTTGAGAAATACACTCAGAAATTACTTTGAAATGCAGTCAGCCATGGCAACATACCTGGATGCAGGTTCCTGTGTGTTCTCGGCACAGGCTGCAGTACAGAGCCCAGCGGCTGGCGGGGATGTGGGACACCTTGGTAATGGGCTCCATCTTCTCTGGGCAGCCTATACTCACCTGCAGAAAACAACAGATTAAATGACTGTTTTTCTTTTTTATTAACAAGAATTCTAAAAACCTAACCTTACATCAAAGAAATAAAAGAAAAGAGGAAAGCGGAAGGTCAGAGTCAGATTTTTTTCATGCCGATTACTTTGAGCGGTTAATTCAGAGCTGGCTAGCAGTGCGCAACAAAGTTGAGGGCACTTATCTACAAAGAGCTGTTTCTTCTTCTCTTTCTCACTTCCTTTCCCCCCCTAAAATATCTTCCTCTTCTCATATGAGAAGCAGAGCTCTCTCATCCCCGTCCTTCACGCTTCCAGCTCCAAGCTGACGACAGATTTCCGCAGGTCGTGCCACCCCTCCTTCAATCCACTCATCCTTCTTTAATATTTTTTTTCTTTTTAACGTCTCATCCGCTTTAAGTCTGCTCGTTCTGCTCTTACAGATCTTTTTTATGGTCTTTTGGATAAAACACTTTCATTAATGAGAGAAGGATTTCCAGTCCATGTATGGTATGATTAATTGATCAGCTTGCACTCAGGAAGCGTGTTCCTGTTCTTTACTTTGTTTGTCACAGCTCAGAAAGACAGAAAATGAAGGGTCTCATTATGTGTGTGCAAACCTTAAACACACCAATTTTTCCACCTCCAATTACCTCACATTTCAAAGCTGGTGGATGAAAAACTGACAAAATGTAAAATCCTTTCAAGTAAAATGGATGCAAATAACAGTGATGATGAAAAGAGTTTTTCTGTATTTTTTCTTGTCTTCTGTGTTACAAAAGGCAAGAATAAAGCCATTGGGGCGGTGGTACAGTACATGGTAAAAGTGTGCTACACACACATCTTTGGGGCTATGTAAGCTATGTTTAGATATATCATTATTTTGATAGTACCTGTTTTAGTTAAACCAAACTCATTATTTATTGACATTGATCCTAAGAACTTCTGATTTTCTAACTGAAGAGTTTCAAGGTGAGAAGGAGGATCAGCTAAAACCCCTGAGGTTATGACCTTAAAGCAGTCATGTACATGCCTTAATCAAATTTATCCAATTTTACCCACCTTGTGAGGTCCCAATTTGATTTGAAGAGGTTAAATATAAACTATTTCAACTGAATTAGATTTTCTGTGTGCAAAAAATGCAGAAAATCTACAGTAACCAGCTCTTCCAACATCAGAAAATGTTGTACTCACGGTCTTGGTTCTGTTAACTTTTCTCTTGAGTATTCAGTTTTACTTTGCTCAATGTTTTCTAGTTGTATTGGTTTAATTCCTATTTTGTTTTGTTTTCTGGATATATTTGAGTTCTTAGGTTTTTCTTTGTTGCCCTCTATTGCCCTCTTGAGTTGGTCTGCTTTTTCCTTGCTCCTTTCTAGAAGCCTCTGTTCACACCTGCTCCCAATCAGCTTTGCCTAGGCCATTCGACAGCCTTCATTTTAGTCGTCTTGTCTTTTGGTCAATCATAGAGGAACATTTTGTTCTACAGAGCAGGATTCCTTTGTCCATTAATCAAGACAAAGTAGTCCAAAATCATGATATTGGTGGGTAAAAATGGGGAGTGGCAGCCTAGTGGTTAAGGCATAGAATTTGGAATCCTGAGGTTCTGGGTTCGTGCCCCTCTCCCTCAGACTGCTACTCTGGGTCTGAGCAAGACCCTTAACCCCACACTGCTCCCTGTGTGCCCCATGATGGCAGCCCACTGCTCCATAAGGGGATGGGTTAAATGGCTTTGTTACTTTTAAGCCAAGAAACCCTGGATTACCTACTCCCATAAAAGGACATTTCTATCCACAAACATTTGCTAAATGTCAGAGTGTTTTTTTTTGTGACAAATTCAGGATACAAATTTAGGTCAAATTTAGTCACTGGTAGTTTTTCTCTAGAAAACTCTAATGGATGCAATTTCTCTTCAGTCTCTATTGTTATTGAATCATAAGCCCCATTTACCCTACCCTCTGAAAACCGATCAGTGCCGGTTCGGAACGAGCTTGGATCAGCCAATCTTGGTTCCTTACGACCATTGACACACCACGCTAGCACGGTTCCTCACCTCCTAGCGACGATCTACTTTACTACTGCTCTCTAGAGGTAACCAAGCAAATCAAAACGGCGGTGCCTTAAATTTCAGGAAGTTATGTTTTATTATCATTGTGATATTTCGTTGTTTGCGGGGAGTCAGGCGAAGAAGGCAACCTTCTGTGAATTTACTTGACAGACTCGGCTTTTGGGAAGTGGACTCGACAAACAAGTCTAATCAGGGCTTGAAGACGCAGGAAACAATGACAATCGTTGAGGTTCATCACACTGCTAAGCAGAATTATCAGTGGAAATAGTCTGGCACGGTACGGAAGCTTGTATTTATATGAATGTCTTAAATTTCTTGATTACGGAGACTGTAAGGAGATGATGTGGTCTGCTCATGCGCTCTTTAACTTTAACTGAAAACTGAGCCAGAACTGAACTACGCTGAGCCCTACTGTTGAACTAGTACCAGTTAAGCGCAGTTCGGTTGTGTTTTAGGCATGGTCCGGTTCAGTTGTGTGCACCATTTACACTCAATAGTCATCCCAGTTAACGTGCTCGGATTGATCCCTGCACGGTTTCAAAAAGGTAGTGTAAATAGGGCTATAAATGCTGATTTTAATGCAGCAGCAAGTTCTGCAGGGTTTTTAGTAGGGTACTTTTAGGTTCTCCTTAAACATCCTGGATGAGTTGTTAATGCATTCTTGGAGTAATTTTAGCGGGCATGAAAACATCTCTGACTGGTTTGCAGGGAATCCCAAATCCTGAAAGTAGGCTCCATTAGCACTTTCCAGTCTGATAGATGTTGATTGCTCTCTCATCTGTTCTTGTATTTCTTTAGATCAGAAACTCCTGCGTACTTTCTTATCAGACAGATTCTATTAAGTCATTTCTTGATTCTACGTGGCTTCTCAACTAAATTTAACTTTCTAAAAATCTGGAGAATGATAGCGCAATTTATTTTCCATCAGTCTTGTAATTTGAACAGGCTAAATGTTATTTACCTGTTGGATTTAAATAATCATCTACATACCAATCTTAGAAGACAGCATTAGCCAGCAGTCTTCTTCAGCTCTGCTAAAGTATTAACACCTCTTTAGATCATGCAGGGATACGTGCATCAACACACACATGCACATACATGCAAATAACCTTTTTCTTCCTGCTCCACAGTTGGAAGAGAAAACAAAAGAAAATGGAGCGTTGAAAACAGTTAGCCCAATCAAGGGCAACAGTAGGTAATTAGAAGGAAAGGGTCTGAGAAGCCAAAAGCTGCTCGGTTATTGGGAAATGTGCCAGTGGAGTATGCTGCTGAATAGGCTGAATTCAATCGGCTGATTGTGCTTGTTTTTAAAGGTGTATGAGGCATGAAACGACATCCATGAGTTTCTGAATGCAACACAATTTGGGGATTTTCACATTTCCAAGAGATCTCATCAACACAACAAGGCAAAGTGAGGGCTTCAAGTTACTCTACACCATTCATTACCCAACTGGTGGAAACGAGTCACAGGTGCAATGTTCTATTTTCCTGACCATAGCTGCTTTTCTTCGTTATGGTTACAAAGCTTGATATAAAGAACAGGTGCTGAACTCCAATCGTGAAGGCAAGTGTTTTGTATCTTTAAGTTCTGGGTAGAGATTCACCTTTCAGCAACCAGACTTATAAAAGCCCCTTAAAAGTCTGGGTAGCATTCCCATATGCATCTACCCTGGTAAATGCACTTCTTTTGGGGGTTTTCTTTCCTGAGGCTTTGGTCCCACTACAAGTTCTGTACTGATGCAGTGCTTTCTTCCACCAGCAGTAACTGATGTAGGTGAGTTGACAGATGTTTTCATTCCTTAAGTTATCGCAAAATAGTTTTAAAGATGTTTTTATGCAAGAAAGTACACCTTATTACTATATCAGTGCAGTAAATTTATCAAGAAATAGCCTACTTTTATATCAATGTCGAAGATGTAAAGACCTGTGTCCTCTGCTCTCTAAGCCGCGGTGTGAAGGGGGATTTCCAGCTACACAGCCCAAATCACTCAGTCGGTCATTAGTCATCAATTATCTTAACTCAAAAAGTTGATTTCTTTTAGGAAAAGGTGTTCCTAAAAACTACATCTATGTGTTCAGTTTATCAAGGTTATGATCATTAAAATCAGATTGCATAAGGTGGGAGAGTACCACTTACAGGCCATTCTAGTTGCTAGGCTAGTTAAACTAACTAGGCAGCAGTAACAGTGGGAATCCCAAGAGAGCTGTCAAATCCAAGCTAGGGGCTCAGGGGTTTCCAGCTGAAACTTAATTTAAAAACTGTTCATGAGGTAGTTTGTGAAAACTGCAAGTGCCAGAGTATAAAATGTTACATGTTTCACCACAAAGGTGTTTGACATTTTAGATTAATATCTGATTTATAAATTGCTTTGCCAGTTTAAGGCAACCTTACAATGTACTAAACCTAATTTAGTACAGTGTAACGGGTTATATACGTTTGCTGTTGGCTTGTAGATACTTCCATCCCAAACTCCAGTGTCTTCAGCTTCCACTTGATATAAATAATGCTTCTGAATATAAAGTGAAGATATCAATTTCTTGTACATGTGGATTAACTATGGTAAGTTTGACTAAAATGTCTTTTGCTCTTGCTGGAGATATCTGAAATTTAGCTGGTTGTTATAGAAAAAGTAAAAACAGTTAATCGGTTTTATTAGTTATATTAAATTGATCATACATTTAAACGGGGAGTCTGGCCAGATGAAGGCTGATGAAAAAATACATAAAAGTCATCTTTTCATATCTTAGGCATTTAGTTAGAAATGGTATGTACTGGAGAACCAGATGTGTTTTCTCATTACTGCCACCCACTGTAATGAAGATGTAGTGCAGTTTCTCTAAGGCTGAATGCCCTGGCTAATGGAAAAGCACGCCAATGAAGGACTATGGATCCCTATTACTCTGGTAAACTGGGGAGTTATTTCTACTTTGTCTCACCTCAGGGATCCATAAGGCACAGCTGACATGGACCCACTTGGTTCCACTGCGAGTGGGTTTCAGAGCCCCCCCTCTCTTGGGACATAGCAGACACTTTGGCTGAACCCCCAAAGCGCAGGTCCGACACAGCCAGTTTCCCTGTGGTACCTTCAAGATGCCGTAACAAGCCTGCAACACAGAGAGACCACAGCTAAGTTTGGAAAACAAATGTGCAAACAGAATCAATTTATAACTTCTGTGATGACTTGTCTAATGTGTGTAATTATAACCTTAGTTGTAATTACAGTTCAATCAATTTGGAGGTAGAAAGCAACACCTTATACAGCTGCTTATTGTTCCTGCAAAGTGTAAAAGGATTTGTTTTACAGTCACAAAATACAATACAGGGGTCCTACACAAAGTTAAAGGCAGCACCCTTTGCCATTCTCATTCTAACCGTCAAAGAAGGGAGCCTCTTTTAGTACCATTTTAAAAATAGAAATATGGCATATATTTCTACGGAAGGAAGGAAGGAAGGAAGGAAGGAAGGAAGGAAGGAAGGAAGGAAGGAAGGAAACCTACATATGCAGAAAGTAAAGGAAAAACAATAATATTGAATAAGTTGAACAGTTTTTCACATTATAATGAGATTAAAGGTGTTAAAAGTCACAAGTGACACAAATTGACCTATTTCTTTGATAGAACTTGAAATGTTGAGCGGGAAGAGATGGAACTCCAGGATCGTTACTGTTCAGACGTCAATTATTAAAAGTTCATGTAGATGCCAAGTCGTTCTAAAACATTGGTTAAAAAAGCAAACCTTGCTGTTCTTTTGGCAGCAATATTGCCAACCTAGATCTTAGTTTGTACTATTCTCAACAAAAAAACAAACAAAAAAAAAGAACAAAAAAAAAGCAGAAAATGATAATGCTGAAGGTGAGTTTTGGTGCCCCCCTTGGCTCAGAAATTAATGAAAACACTGTCATGTAAAAAAAACCAACAACAACAAAAAAAAAACAATGAAAAACTACCCTCAGTATCTCACAAGCTCAATATGTCAAGTACTCTGTGTAAGAATTTTGAGGTAATGTGCAATAAACCCCATTGATTTTCCTTCATTGTACCTCAGGAAAGTAAGCATATCTAAAAACTTTGTAAATATTTTGCCATCTCGTCATGCGAAATCACTGAAGACAAAACCTGTTACAAAGCAGTCAGTGTAGAGTTTGTAAATCGTACATTTTAGGGCAATCTTTCAACAGGCTAGGTTATTTTTAAGTAGAGTAACAACCTTTTAACATTTTTAGAGAGGTCTTGAACTTCAGTGGCCTTTACGAGGGGAGCATTAAAATGATAAAACAAAATGTTACCAATCTGTGGCCCAAGATTTTAATTCTAACAAGTCACATTAAACCAGAATTGCTAAATTGAGCAAGATTTTGACATTTTCACTCGAGGGTGTACTGTAGTTGGTTTGGGTGATGGCTGTGTGTTGACCTATTTTGAGGGCAGAGCAAATTTACAGTTACATAAGCTGTAAATGGACCATTTGAAGATGTAAGAATGTCTTCATTAGTGCTGACATAAAGAGATGTAATGAAATATCAAAAAAAAATCTAATTACTGCAGAAAGACAGTTTTTCAAACTAACCTGATGAACGCAGACATTGCACTTGTCACAGAAGACCATCTCGTTGCCATCCTCTCCCTCTGGCGAGCGGCACACATCGCACACCACATCTTCATCGTACTCAATGCCGAGACCCTCCTCCGTCTCTATGGCCTGCTGCATCTTTTCCTGGCACACGCTCTCCAGCTCGACCAGAACACACTCCATCGTCAGCTCGTCCAACTCCGGTAGGGCTATCGGTGAGACAATGTAACATTGAAAATGTTGGAAGACGGAAATCAACAAAGAGAAAAGAGCAGAGTGAAACAGGAAGCTATTAAAACCAGACAACTCCTTTTTTTTTTAAAGTGTTTTCTGTTGTTGTTTGGAATGACAAGTAGGATTTCTCATTCTTCTATGAACAGAAAAAATGTTGCTCTTTCAGATAAGATAATCTTGTTCCTTGCAGCTTGGATTTCCTTAGCAGGAATAACGCTATTCAGTGAAGCAGAAATATTTTGCTGCACTTTTCACTGACTTATCAAATACCCTTAAACAAAAGACCTTGATTATACAGAAATGATTTTTTTTTATTAAAAAAACAGAATTTCTTTTATTTTTTCTACTGGTCTACACCACAACGGAGTGCAAGTTTGTCATGTCTCTATTGTCATGTACATATGAAAAACCTAATTCCTCTGTACGGAGGAACTAATGCAGTTTCATTTTTACAGTGATGACAAAATAATTGAACTCTCTGCAATAGGCCAGCTTCTTACTCAGCTGCAGGTGGCCTCTAATAGTTAACAGGAGTTTCCAAAGGGCTGCTTTCAAGCCATTTGAGGGCTTTGGATAAACTGTGTACAGCCCCCAATAGTAATTGAAGATATCCACAAATGTTGCTTACCAGGTTAATCAGTTAAGGCAGATGGAAACTCTAAAATCATTATTGAGGTAATTTTACAATCAATTTTAAAACAGAAAATCCTAAACATTGTATACAACAACTGATATTTCCTATTAAACACTCTTTTTTTCTTTTTCCAAACATCCAGCAACTGGGTTTAAAATAAGATTGGGATCAAAATACTGTTTTCTACGCAAAAAAAATTATTTCTCCGGTAGAGGTGGACAACTTTTCTGGCAGTTAAACTATTACTGTCAAGTTTTTCTTACAGGTTTTTTTTTTTTTTTTTTTTTTTTATTACAAGAGCACAATAACAGCAAACTAACCATATGAAACCCCAAAGCGGTAAGACAATTTACAGATTTTACAAAGTTATTTTTGACTTCATCACTCTGTCTCACACTTCAATTGGAAATGCACACAGATTTCCTCTGCTTGTTTATCTCATCAGGTCATTGTGTTGTCTTTGGACTTCAGGAGAAATGAGTGGGAAAGTAAGTCATGTTCCTGTTGGAGGTAACTCTGACAGAGTGGAGAAATTATGCATGACTTATGCAAATACATGCTTTAAGACAAATATCACAAAATCTGCAGACAAAAAAATAAATCCTTTGTTGCCCACAGCTCTGTTTACCATGCGAGTTCGTGTCGACAACATTTGTATAGCTGCTAAATTTGCATCTCAAAGTAGTCCCTTGCTCCAAGGCTGTTTAACAGATGATGAAATTGGATCTAAGCAGTATGAGCTCTTGACCTAATAATAAATAAAAAGGATCTGAGATATGAGCAAAGTAAACAGTCTGATTTCCAGGACAGAAGAGACACTGAATAATATTATTACCTCTAACTACAGCGGAAGTATGCGGATTAAACAGACTGAGGAACCAAGAATTGCATTAAAGGATGTTTGAGTGATCTATGGAGAAGCTCATATTAACTGCAGCAAGATTAAAAAACAGTGCCTCAATTGCCAGTAGAATAGAAACAAATGGAATCTATGATGGAATCTGGTTTGTTTGCTCCCAGTATTTAGAGTCTGGGTAAATCAGTCGTTCCACTGTCATTTGAAAAAGCTATTAATTTGCTCAGCAGGTGGGATGGTTATTTGACCCCCCTACCTTGGTCCTCAGAGTTCCAGCTGCTGCAGAGGGCTGAGGCCTGCCCGGCATGTTAGGGGCTTTGGGGGCTGGGGGTGCCAGAGAACAGGTTGATGCAGACCACCAGGAAGAAAGGATTCCAGGTTTTAACTGGACAAGTGGTCTAAGGGTTCAGGTTCTCAGGGTCTCAGGGCTCGGTACCCTACTTTTCACTCTGTGCCATTGATGCTTGGGGGCTGCGGCTCATGTGTATCGCTGATGACCTACCTCTGCGCCAGGCGCACGGCCGCCCTGTGGTGATGCCTTGAGTATTTCTGCCTGGGGCGGCTGCGGCCTTCCAGAGCCAGGGTCCACTTGTCCTTTGCTGCTTTTAGGTGCTGTGTGTTGCAGGTCCTCTACTGTTCTCACCACTCTTAGAACTGCGCACCTCCAAATGACAAACTCGCTCATGTACACCCATGCAACACAAACACACTTATTTCTACACCTTAAGACAGCCACGCAATCCATGGTGTAAGTTCATGTGGACAAAGGTTACTATTATAGCAATTTGCCTTCATGGACCAAGTCTGGGTTTAATAAAGGCAATAATGCAATTAAGATACCGTCTTGAGATCTACGTTTTTTCAAGGCAACCAGCTTCTTTACATGGTATGCAGCGTCAGGACATGTATGGAAAAAGAAATAATTCACTTTAGAATTTTTATATTTCAGTAGGACCCTCCTATGTATGGAATGCATGCAGATCAGTGTTGCATTTAGAGGGTAGATCTTCCACAAGCAGCATTGAAGGAAAAGGTGTGTGGCTGTGGATTATTTATTGATTTATCTGAAGGATTCAACACTCAGTTGGGAGGTTTTTTTAAGTGGAGCAGAGCATCCGGTGTCTCCATCTATTATTTACATCCGTCAATCTCTTCCCACCCTAAAAATAAATAAATAAAATGTACTCTTTCTTGAGCATCTTGTTATCAGCAGGGTTCGTATGCAGCCTGAGCTGCAGTTTCTCATATCCCGTGCTGGAAATGTTCATTCATGACTTTACTCAGAGATATAAGGCTCACTTCACAGAGGACTAAGCAGTAAATAGGAACAGCAACACTTCTCGAGTCCAGTGTCATCTCATAATCATGGGTAAGGTTTTGCTGCTTTCGATGGATCACAGACATGCTCAAGTTTACCTAAGGTGGGAGAGTTTTTAGGTTAATGTAATTATAATTTCTGTTTTTATAACACTTTAGTGTATGGAAATGATACACTGTTCAAAAGAATTAAAGAAACATTTTTAAATCAGAGTAATGTGAAGTCAATTAAACTGCAATATTGATCCAAATAGTTTAGCATTATTGGTAATCCATGTCAGCTGTGTTGGTGTTAATAAAATTCACAAGAGCTGGGATCACTATCATTAGCATGAGGCAATACTTGGACCCTTCAGAGGCTGCACGGGCCGTCAATCCATTAGGTAACATCTCCACAAGGTTTCCTTCATAATTCAGTACAGTCAAGAGGATGGAAGAGAGTTTAGCATAGTCAGTCTCAGACAGATGAACAAGGTCCTTAAACCACTGGCTGGACCAGTATCCACACCTTTGTGCGGTGAGGGACATGATGAGTTCTACCAGAGGCCTACAAAGTGACATTCAGTGAGCCTCTGGATTGCCAAGTCTCTGACTAAATTAGAAACAGACTTTATCAATTGGACTGAAAAAGCTCTCTTCATACTGTCTGGCAACATGGAGCTCAACTGGAATTTGGAGAAGAATTAAGAAATTGGCATCTTAACACTGGCACCACATTCTTTTCACAGTTGCGAGCAGGTTTATTTTGAGCTCATATGGCAGAGGTGAAAGGGTCTGGAGAAGCTGACTGGATCATCCTGGGTCATTGTTGGTCTGGGGCGGCAGATCCATTAAGGGGCATTAAGATCTGTACAGGATAAGCAATGGCACCATTAGACCCATCAGGGTTTAACCATTAGCCCCATGGTCAGACCCTTCATTGGTGCAATGAGTATGGGTTCCTCCTTATCCATGACAATGCCAAGCTTTTTGTAGCTAGAGTATGCAGGCAGTACCTACAAGAATTTACTTCACTGACTCCATGCTCCCTTGCCCTAAATCCAACAGAATATCTTTGAGACGTCTTCTTCGGTGCCATCTAATGCCACGAGGTTGCATCTCAGACTATCCAGGCATGCAAACCAGCATGGGGACCACACAAATGACAGAGTACCATTTTGAGAAGCTAAAATTGACATTTTCAGCAGCCGTTTGTTCCTAACACATCGTCCATTCCAAATCAGTCTGGATGTCCAGTAAGATTGTTTTTATAATTGAGATCTGATTGGTTTTCAAAGTGTTTCTTTAATTTTTGGAGCAGTGTATAGAATAAACATATATTAAGAGGCTATCTTAAGGCTATCAAATGTGAGGTTTTTATATGTCAGTGCCAGGACAGTTGATTTTTCTAACCTGGGAACGATTTCTCCAAATCTGAGTCTGATGATTGTAGATATAGTAAGCTTGGTGAAACAGCAGCACCTTCTTTCCCTTTCCATGCCTCTTTGGATATGGTACTGGAGACATTTTTATTGAGTTAAATGCATTATGTTCACAGATCTGTCATCTCGCTACAGTACTTAAAGAAAGCGAATTCTAAGAGCAAACACTGTCTTTTACAGAGTCCTACCTTTTTTTTCCTTATTTAGAGAAGACATTTTGTCGATATAAGTTTATCCTGATTCATCTTAGGGTATTATGGATGTTTACTTTTAATTATGGCACTTAATGTTCCAGAGATTAATAAAAATAGTTTAGACATTCATATGTCAATTTTTTTTTCACATTATTTAAAATCCATCTTAGTTAATGAAGTGAACCACACCAACACTTAACTTCTGACTCTCTATAAAGTGCCACAGTACCTATAGAACACAACTGTATAAAGAAAGAATGGGCCTCATGCAACAACATCTTCTTATTGTCATACATTTCTTCTACTTCTCTCCTGCCGTATACCAAAATGACACATCAGACTCAACTGACATTCTTAACTTCAATAAATGACTGTAAATAATTCTCATAAATGTGATGCAATCCACCTGTGCGTGAGTGAGCACACATTGATGAGAACTGCTAATCTGCATAATTATCGCCCTGATAATGCAATATAAGGCTACATATACAGTAAGTGGGAGGGCTACGACTTCCCAAGCTTGTCAGAAGGGGCTCATTCATAGAAATGGCATTGAAGGCGCAGAAGGAAAACTTTACGAGTTCGAAGATCAAGGATCTGATGACTGAAAGCCGAGCAACAGAACTAAAAGCTAAGGGGTGGGAGTTAAATCACAAGTGCTGAAAATAAGGTGGCTGCCTTTTTACGGAATTAAAACTAAAATTAAGAATATAAAATATAAAGAGAGAAATTAATTTGATCTGAAAATAGTCACTGAAAACTAGTGAGAGTGGCTAAAGGTCCAAAATACTGATGTAAATACTTAAAGGTATAGTGGAGGAAGTTCTATTTCCGGGTGGATCACCAAAATAATTGGTCCTCCTAAATGTCAATCATTCTGGTGATTTTTATTTACGTAAGGCCGTCCTACGTGCTCGTCCTCATTTTCACTTACCGGTGCTGAGCCTGACATAGTGAAAAAAATTGCAAATCTTCTTTTGGAAAGTAAGCTTGTATGAGCAAACAGCAATTTTTAAACAGAGCGTGCATGAGGAGAAATGGGCTTGTGCATGCTCTCACACGCGTTTAATAGGCGGTCCCTCTCGGGAGCCGGTTTATTTTTTTAATTGGAGAGGGCATCAAGCAATGTGACTAAACATTCTTCAAAATCTCATTTTAAAACACGCACACCTGTAAGGTACATCTCTGGACCGAATATGTCATCCCTTCATCGCTCTCTCCAACTCTCTCATTAAATGCATTGACATAAAAATGTTAACGGCTAAACTATAATTTGACGAATGCAGACAGACTCAAACAAAAAAATCTACATTTTATGCAATAACAAAGCGAAGGTGCCGCGATGGAGTGAAATGAAGTGTCACAGTGATTCTCAACTTTCTATTTTCTGTTCCCGATGTTATTTCAATAGTAGGTTGATCTCTGACTGTTCTTTCTTTTGACAAACTGACAACAAATCAAACCAGTGATTGTCCCCTGGGTACTGACATGCCAGCTGCAGTGGCCTACTGTTCTGTCATCAGTAAATAAAAATGCAATTTATAATTGCAGAGTTGCATAATATATAATGATATAGCCTGATCAAATGAACAATTGCTTCTAAGTAAAACAAAAGAGGTAATTTAGTGAAAGACTAGGTTTGGATAACAGTTGACTCATTGAGCATGACTCAGATTAGAAATAGGGGGAAAATGGTGAGTGCTTCATTTTCTCCTAAATCACTCGTACGAATAATTTAAAAAAGGATTTGTTCGTACGAATGGTTCTTGCATGAGGCCCATTGTCTCTTAGTCTCTGTCTATGAGGAGTTAGATTTTTCAGCTGTTTACTGGAATTGTTAAAACTCTGTGACTGCTGTGAATTGCATAGCTGTCTCTGAAGCAGCCGAGTAAGAGGAAGCAGAGTTAGATATTAACCTGCTGTGACATTTACATCATGAACTGAACACACTGTACGGCAGGAAGTAACAGAAAACCTAAGCAGTGTCTTGTGGTTAGGTGTGTGTGTGTGTAGTGTCTGTGTTGTGGACTTTGTGTGCACTTCAAGCACATTTTCTGTCTTTACATTCTCACTGTGATTCTTTGTAAAATGACAGGGCTTGCAATTGCAGATTTACATTCAGCTTTGTCTTATGTTTTCAGTGTTAACCTAGAAAAAAAAACACATTTATTTCTATTTCAACATCAGCATTCAGGAAGAGAAGGAGGATGTGGACCAGAAATAAGGCTTGGATGCCCAGCGGGGGATTCATAAACACAATTACACTTCCTTATCTGCAAGGGGCTGATCTGATATGGAATATAAAATGGTAGAGATGCTTAGCGTTGTGTGTCATCAAGAGGTCAAATAAAAAGTGCAGCAAAATATGTGAGACGAGGGGGACGACAGAAAACAGTAGATAATATAGGAAAGGAGGTGAAAATCAAGTAAAAGGAGAAAGGATGAAGTTCAACTATAATTCATTCAGTTAAATATAAAATTTTTACATCTAATAAGAATACCATCAAAAAAAATTTTTTTAGGTTATTTTACTCAAAAGGGAAACTCATATTATGCAGATTTATTACACAAGAGGATAAGGATAGTACTGTAAATCAGCATATTAATAGAAAGTTAAGGGGAGGAAAAACATGAATTGCAGATTGCACAAGCAGCAGGGATAACTGCAGCATTAACAGGGTTATGGAGCAAAGCTGATTTAAGGGTTTCAGGAGATTGACTAAGAACAGACCACAGCTGGTATCAGTAGTTCAAGAGCCACCAAAAAATTAGCTTTGACGCTTTACTTGTACTTAAACCAAGACAAAAACCAGAGGCATCTCATTTTCACTGGCAAGTAGACTTGCCTGAGCTGAACCCTATAGGTAATCTATGGGTGCTGTCAAGAAAGATGAGACAGAAGACCCAACAATGGAGATGACCTATCAAAGCATGCTGGATTTCAATTTCACCTGAGCAGACCACAGTAGAATCACAGGCTGATTAGCTTAATGCCTTTCTGGAAAAATGCAATCATGTAAAAGGAGCCACAAGATGTGACTGTATTCACTGTAAAGGCTCACAGTAAAGCCTGAAAATCCTCAGTTTCCCAGAGAAACTGAATTTAACGCTTATGTTATCTGTAATCTTTACAAAAATATGTGAAACACTGGAATTACATCATTATGTGTAATTTGTCCAGATAATGTACAAGTTTCCCTTTTGAAGTAATTTATTGTATAAAGCTTATGTTTTTCATGCACTATGTCAGTGTTCTCAGTCCTGCACCTCACATACTGTCCTATTGCCCTGCATATTTTACATTTAAATTCCAATTAATGGTTAATCATTCATTAATATAAGTCAGGTGTGGCACCAAGGGGGCTCCTACAATATGCAAAGCATTGATAATTGAAAAGCAGGATTGAGAACTACTGCATTCTGTTACAGAGCTACAGCTATAATCTCCCTGTAGACAAGTTTTCTCACTTTGATATGTCAGACAACAAAGTCTTGAGTTCGTCTAGGACTTTATATCAGTTGTAAAATGTAGGATTAATTAAAAATTTTAGGATTGGAGCTTATGCCAGACAGGCAAAGCATAAACACGGACTGAATATAATTACAGTGAAAACCTTAACGAAGTTCCTATAAAATTTCAAACTTCATAAGCTATTTTTTTTTTTTATCAGGATGTTTTTAGAGAATTCTGCACATCTATACAAATCCAGCAGACTAAGAAGGGAGGATAGGGAAACTTTACTGCTTTTGTTACATCTGGACTAACTTAGATCCGCTTATTTTCTAAATCTATAAATCTTAGTCCTGTCAGAGTACGTATCCTAAACTGAAAGTTTATTTATTATTTGAAGTACATTTTTTTTAAGGATTTATATTTAAACTTTGTAAAATATTCAAGAAATAGACATTTTAGCAGTTTTTTTTTGTTCTGTTTTTGGTGTTTTAGACATTTTAGGAAGCACATATTCAGGTCAACCTGTATTTAAAGGTTTCTAGTGACCAAAATTCTCTATATAACTTTTCTTTATATTGTAGCATGAATTTAGTTGATACTAAAAAACAAGAACACTGATGGGTAACATGTTAAAGAATAGGTGGGATGTCGCAAATCATAGGTAAAGCATGTTGAATTGAAATTATTTTGAATACCCCATGTTTGTTAAAGGATTTTCTTCTTCAAGACTTTGTTAGGAAAAGAGGTTTGAAAAGGTTTTTTTTTTCTGTAGTTTTCCAGACCTGGAAAAGCAAAATGGATATATTTCCAGATGCCTTTGTTTGCTGGATTAAACCAATGCTAAATATGTGATGTAATAGTACTTTATTATTATCCTCAGCTGATCATTTGGTTTAAAGTGAGCGCTCACCCATCTGCCTGAACTCCTGGTTAACCAGCTGCAGCCAGGCAACATCCAGGTCATCCAGGTCATAGCAGCTGTGGAGCTGGGAGCGAGGAGGCTGTGCATCTCCCTCCTTCAGCTGACCGTCGATGGTCACACCACCTGTCGACTCCGCCGGCGACCTGAAACAAGAACAAGAGACGCTTTACATGAGGGCAGTTTGTACAACAGCACAAGGTGAATTAAGTCATTAGGTATTACCAGAGCAAAGTATTTCAGAATCAACTTGAATTTATCAATTTTGGTTTGTTGCTTTTATAATTAGCTTTGTTTATCCTCAGTTGTTACACAAGAAATTATAGGTCACAATGCGCCATTTTGGAGGCACTGTGATGCTTTTTCTCCTTTACTGAACTAAAAATCAGGTTTTGAAAGGACAATGAACCTACATTATAAAACCACAGTATTGGGTCTTAATTTAGCCAAATTAAATAAATCCAAATTATCCGTGAGACTTGTAAACCAGGCAAGAGGCACGGTATCAAATAAATGTTACAGAATTATGTGATGCTACACATTAAATGAGTATAAATGTTCATGCTCTGGATCCCTGAGAAAATTTTGGGATTCACGTTTATTTCTTCAAATTTTTTATTTTTCTGGCCTTCCTGAGTTCTTCTGTACTATAGAGTAAAGATGTATCTTTTTAGGCTTCTTAATTTGATCATTATATTTGGAGAATAAATACTGAGTTCTGTTAAGTTAGAATGTTTCAAATAAGTTGTCTGCAACATGCAGCAGACTAAAACCTTTTTGGTTCATATGTCAAGATGAGGTTTGGGGTTAAAAGATTAAACCTGATCATCAGTTTACACAAATTTCCATGTTTCTTTTCCTCCAATCCCAGTTGTTCTTTTCATGCCTCCCTTCCCATTTGCAATTCTCCACAATACTCAGTTCCTCCCTTTCTTCCCGTTTCCATTCATTTCCTCCTATATACTCTCTTTTCCATTCTATCTTTTCTCCTTCTGACTTTTTAATTTTTCAGTATCATTCTAACCTTTGTTGTTTTCTTAATGTTCCTTTTACATCCAGGAAAAATCTCATGCATCTCTAGCTTTTCAGTTTGTTCCCTTGTTCCTTTACAAGGTTTCCTCCCTTGGTGTGTTTCCTTTAACTGTTTCATTATTGCCTTCAAGTTTTTCCTCTATTTATTCCACAGCTCTCTCCTGTTGAATTTATCTATGTCTTGCATTTCTTTAATTGTTAATTTTAATCCTTTTAATGTGCTTGAATCCTTCTTATTCTCTCTCTTCATCCCATACTTTTTTTTCTGCTAATATAGCCTACTCCTTTGGCTTATCCTTTTTTCTCTACCTTTCACTTTCTTTTATTCTCTCCTCCGGACCACAATGAGACCATTTCCTCTTTCTATGTCCTTCATTTTTTCTTCTGTCCTGTTGCTTACTTCATCCTCACGTGGTTAAGATGTTTAATAATTCAGGTTTTTCTGAAGTTTGATCTTCTGGAGCTACCTGTGCATAAACTTGACATATGGGTTTTAATCTTAAAAAGCCTTATCGCTTTTTGCACTACTTTTATGTCGACATGAATTATAAGGAAGTCTCATTACTGTCCAGAAAATCTTAAACACAGTTAAACAGATTCATAAAAAAATAACATATTTTAAAAAACAATGAGGAATCAAGCCGTGATAGAGAGGCAGTGACTGGAAGCCCCTCTAAGCGGTGTCTAGTCTTCTAAGCTTATGGTGTGATTGTCTTTTTAAAAATGAGGTCAAGATCTCTGTTCAACTAACTTGGAACCAATAAAAACTGAAACACACTCATATGTGCACATTCGAAGGCTTGGGTTACTCATTTGGACAGTGGAACAGAAAAGCTTAAAATCAGGCGACTGCGTGTAGGAGAATACCACGCCAACAATAACCCGTACTCAAACATAAACCACACCCCTTTAATTCCCCTCATCATCTAGCAAAACTGGAGCCTTTGTTTGACAAAAAAGCACATCAGCGATCATAACCACAAACAACCTTGATCTCCCATTTAGCTCCTGCCTTCATCATCTCATTATCATCGCCCTTACCATCATCCCTCCCAGCATCCTTCACCTCAAGCAGCATGTTAAGCATTTTCACCTCAATCATAATAATCAGCACTGCTGCTATCACTAAAGAGAAACAATCTTAGTCCTCACTCGGGTCACATTTTGCGGGCAGAATAAAATCTAATTTTAAATAAGAATTCAAAACGGTCTGGCACAAAATCCAAAAGAAAGCATTGGTTAAAAAAAGGAAAATTGCTTCAGTTTATATACAGATGTCAAATTTGTTTCTTGACAAAAATAAGAAAAAAATATCCACAGATATTTCACTTTTATGAACTTTATTCTGCTTTATTGTAGCTTGATCCTCTGATGGAGTTGCACCTCTGAATGTTGAAGACAAACCCTCATCTTTCCTTCATATTTCTATATGTTTACATCTAGATAGTCTACCAGGGATCCTTGAATTTCATGTTCAAATCGATGCCACCATCCCCTTGTAATTGCCCATCAGTGATGGGCAGCATTTCCACTGCAGGCAATGCATCCATTACTTTAATAAAAAAGCACAGATCTGATCAATCTTTTATCTGCAAATGGACGATTTTGACCATAACACTTAAATCAATGAGATAATGTGTAATGATTAATGAATCTAGCCCTGTTATACATGTATGTGGGGACCACGTGGATTGAAAATAGAAGCCTATTCTGACGCTGCATCGGGACTGGAATGCGATATCTGACAAACAGGCCTGGGTCAAGTGGTCAGGAAGAAAATGAGAGAAAATAGACCCAGACGTTTACATAATAAGGCTGAATGGATTTCCTACTGGGGACAGTGTTTCTGTTATGCAACCTTGAAAGGAACAAGAAATATATTAGAGTGTTGTTCAGCTGCCTTTTTAACAGACAATACTGCTGCCAGATTAAACACTTTGTGCTGCAAGATAAATGCAGTGAAAAGCACACCCTGTCCATTGTCCCGCCTGTCTGTCAATGATGTAAAGCAACTCAAATGTAGGTTTCATTTGTTCTTTAGATTCATTATTTAGTATACAAAGTTCTGTTTGTTGTTTAATTTCTGCTCAAAATAAAAGGAATACTCAAATAACACAGTCTAGATCTGAATGAATTAAATATTGTCATTGAATACTTTGTTGTGTACAAAGTTGAATATGATGACAACAAAAACATCAACAGAACTCAAATGGAGGCCTGGATTTGGAGTCAAACACAAAATTAAAGTGTAAAAACAGACAATAGGCTGATCGTACTTTGATGTAAAGTCCTTAAAACGGTTCAAAATGAAGCTCAGTGTTGTATATGGCCTCATGTAATTGTTAGACCTTCCTACAAAGCCTCGACGTGCTCCTGATGAGGTGGTGGATGGTTTCCTGAGGGATCCCTGAACAGACCTGGACTAAGGCATCTGCCCATTTCTGGACAGTCTGTGGTGCAATGTGACATTGGAGGTTGAGTCGAGACATGATGTCCCAGATGTGCTCAATCAGATTCAGGTCTGGAAAAAACGGGTTAGCCAATCCATAGCTTCAATTCCCTCATCTTGCAGGAACTCAAGGCACATGAGGTCTGGCATTGCCCTGCATTAGGAGGAACCCAGGGCCATCCACACCAGCCTCTCACAAGGGGTCTGCGGATCTCATCTTGGTACCCAATGGCAGTCATGCTTCCTCTAGTGAGCACATGGAGAAATGCAGCCCCACATAATTACTGATCCACTGCAGAACCGGTCAGCTAAAGGCTGTTGTAGGCAGCAGATTGCTCTCCACGGTGTCTCCGGACTCTGCCATGTCTGTTACATAGGCTCAGTGTGACCCTGCTTTCATCTATGAAGTGTATCGGCACCAGTGGGCGAATTTGCCAATCCTGGTGTTCTCTGGCAAATGCCAAGCGTCCTGCATGATGTTGGGCTGTAAGCATAACCCTTCCTCATCTGTGGACATCGGGCTCACATACTATCCTCATGGAGTCGATTAGAATCCATGGCCTGCTGTAGGTCATTTTGCAGGGCTCTGGCAGTTCCCCTCCAGTTCCTCCTCACACAAAGGTGGGAGTAGCTGTACTGCTGCTGGGTTGTTTCCCTCCTTCATGTCTCCTGGTGTACTTGCCTTCTTGCAACAGTTTACATTGCTGTGCCCACCTGGACTAGCAGCACTACCTGAGCCCCTTGTGTGGGTTTTATAGTCCCTCTCAGACATTCTTTTTCTAGAGTGGGTCATGCCAGTGAAGCCAACCTGGATACTGAAGGACAACAGAAAAACAGTATCCAAATTAAGTTACTATTTGCTGGCTGTATAACTACGTGCAGAGTACCAGTGTACCAAAAGCAGGATAATAGGATGGGATCTTAGTGCAGCACATTTAATGTAAAGACCAGGGAAAACAAAACAAGAGTGTGAAGACCATTGGAAATGTCTTGCAGGCAACATGGAGTAGTAAATACCAAAGCAGCAACAGAAACCCAGCATTGCCATAAGGCTGTGTTGCTCCATAATGTTTTTTTTTTGTGAACAGGATGGCAAAAGAGAATAGAAATCTACTTTTGGTATCACTAACATATGAATATTTCGCTTTTCTATCAGCATTGTCAGAGTCTTGGTTTGTTAGTTCCTGTTTTTCTTGGTTTTCCATTTGTTGTCCTCTGCTGCCCTCTTGTGTCCTCTTTTCCTTGCTCTGTTTTCTGTTCTGCCCTCACCTGTTTTCAATCCCCTCGTTAGCTCTCTCTTTGTCTCTGTCCCCTTTAAAAGCCCTCCCTCTTCAGTTCCTGTTGGCTGGATCCTCGTCTAACGTCTGTCTGCCTTTCTCGTCTCTCCCTGGTTCCTAGAGTTTTGGTTTTCCCCTGATGTCTCCTTGGTTCTGGTTAGTTGTTGTTTTGTTGGATTTTTTGATTCCTGCCTCAGTTCCTGTAAACATAATTAAACCCAGTTAAATTCACCTCTGCCAACTTTCCTCTGCATTTGGGTCCTCAAACCAACACCTCAAATCCTGACAAGCATAATACAAGACCAATACTGCCTTTGAAAAGAATCCTTGGTTTCTGCCTAACACTGTTTGGACCAGGTTAAAATATGAAATTTCTTAATGTTACTGA